CCTTACTAGTAGTAACAAGAAGCTACTAGGAACAAGTGCATCGCTACGTCGCCACGCTATGCAGGATTCACGATTCGTCGAATCCAGTTCGACGATTGGGCATTCTTCCTTCTCTTCCTTCTCAGTTCAGATCGGCTTCGCCGATTTGGCCTCATTGAGTGTGCATGTCACTTGCGCAAGCTCGGCTCAGCTGGAGCGGTGTTCCTTGTTGTCAAAAGGGCATCGCTACGAACGGAGCAGGATGTTCTAGTAGCTTCTTGCTCCTAGTAGTATGGCCAGGAGCTACTAGTAGCATCCTTGCTCCTAGCAGCGATGCTCTTTGTTACTAACTAGTAGCGATGCACTTGTTCCTAGTAGCTTCTTGTTCCTGGTAGCTTCCCGTCGTGCTTCTCGTGATTCCACCTCGGTGGAACTGCGAATGGTCAAAGAACACTCCAAGGGCAGACCAGCCTTCATTTGCTACTAGTAACAAGTGCATCGCTAGTAGTAACAGGTGCCTTACTAGTAGTAACAAGAAGCTACTAGTAACAAAGGGCATCGATTCACACGTTTCCAAGATATGCAAAGGGCAACGTGTCGATGCTCAGCAAAAGGTAAAGGTGCTTTGCTATTCCAACTGGATTGCAGGGCTTCGCATACATTCAAGCACAGGTTGCTCCTCCCTGCCATCCCATGTCAAATTCTATGCCTGCAGCTCACCCAGCATGCTCTTCATCAGTCCACTGTGCTTCCTTTGCCATGAAGGATCTTTTGATGAACGATCTTTGCTCTTTGCTGTGTGTGAGAACGCGTTCGAGCACTGATCAGAAGCCACACTCTCTGGCCACGAAGGTATCCAAGAGCTCCTCGAAGGCATTGTCTTGACTCACTTGTACTCTCCATGGCACAACATCCAGTTGGAGGCCATCGCTAGTAGCTTGGAGGCCATCGCTATTAGGTTGGAGGCCATTGCTATTAGGTTTATTTGCATAATCTCTATTGTTTCTATTTTTTTGTTATAGATTTGTTTGCTCTTAAAGGTCTGGAGGCCATCGCTATTAGGTTCAAATTCGTCTCCATGGCACAACGGTCTCCCTCTGGCCCACTAGCAAATTCCACTTGAAGCTCGGTTTGCTGTTGGGTTGGATGTCTTTTTGCAGTGCCATCTCGCGGATCCAGTGGGATGCGGACCGGGCTCCCTGTTTGATCTTCCCCTTGGTCATGGCGGTGAACTCCTGAAACTACTTCAGGATTAGGATGGATTAGGTGAGCAGCAAAAGCACCAACACGAAACTGACACCACAAACCACAACCGAATAGCGATCGCCTCCAACTTAAGAGTGATGGCCTCGAACCTACTAGCGATGGCATCCAACCTTTTAGCAATGGCCTCCAACCTAATAGCAATAGGTTGGAGACAAAGACACCCCTAGACTCCGAGACACAAGCAACAGCTACGACCCAGAAATAGCAAGACACTCAGGCAGGGTTCCCAGCCGCCTAGAGAGCGTACAACCCCAAGCTATCGCTATGCTTGGGTGGAGGGGGTAGATACTGAAAAGGGAGCCAAGTGGCACGCTGAGTAAAGTAGGCAAGCTGAGTAGTAAGGTGTTTCCTGTTGCACTCCGGTGTTGAGCAGAAGGACATCAAAGGAACATTATTTTGTCAGCAGAAACTCAGTGGTCTAAATGGCCAGAATCCCAATAGCTGTGTAACTGATTCCATCCCAATAAACAAGTTGAATCAATTGGAGGGTGTCCGTGCACTACCCTGAATGGACATTTGTTTTGGACCATGTTTTGATATATCTTTCAAGAAGGAACACAATTGTTCAAGAAGGTATTCAATCATTCTGCTTAACTCCAAGTGAGTTGTTGAAGGCAAGGAGAGTAAACCATCTGGATCATCTGCAGGGACAACACTTTTACTTTTGCATCCCAATGCATTTTTGTTGGCAAGTTGGGACGCTTTTGCAAATCTGGAATTACTGTAATTACCATTCTACTGCTCATCAACCCTCCACATTTGAGGCTTAAATGGCTGCCGCTTGCTATTAACAGAGATGGCTTGACCCAGATTGTCCATCGTCAACGTGCACAGCATAAGCTGATTGAAACATATGACTGCTACGTCGTCCGACCTATTTGAGAAGTTCAATTTGCTCAGTTTCTTTTCCGACCTAGAAAAGCATCTTCCGCTTTGCCCGTCAACCCTGGCATCACCTGTATCAACAACAGCCAACGGGCTGTGCTTCATCGCACGAAACTGGGGAGCCAGACAGGTAGGCGCCCCTCGTATAAATGCTTGACATGAAGAGGAGCAGGATGGACCACCAATTTGCGCAAACAGAATAGCAGGACAAGCAGGACTCATGAAAATCAATTTGGGTTTGTTTGTGTGTGTGTGGGTGTTTGCATTGGCCAGCAGGACTGCACAGAAATTTGCACTTGGTGGACGTGGGGCCAACCTGCACCGACTGTTCAGAAGAAACATAACGAAACGTTGGTGGCAGGCCACTGATTCAAATTCACTCAACACATCCCTTAAGCAATTTGTCAAAACCAACGGCAGTAGCACTTAGCTACTAGTAACTAGTAGCTTCTTGCTACTAGTAGCGATGCACCTTGTTACTAGTAGCTTCTTGCTACTAATAGAAATGCACTTGCTACTAGTAGCGATGCCCTTGCCACTCATTCAAATTCAACACTTCCCTAGTAGCTTCACTACAAAACCAACGGTAGTAGCTTGGCTGAAACGAAATCTGGGCGCGGGAAGTGGCCAACCTCCACTCCACCGCTCCAGCGCCGCAGTAACGGCCGCCACACCACCGGAGGGTTGTGAAGGGTCCCATGCATTTGTGTGCCAGGACACTCTCCAACTGTCTTTAGAACTCTAGACGAGCTGTTCTTTTTTGCCGATAGTTTTTCTTCCACCTCACATTTTGGATTTGGATTGTGCATCAAAAAGAAAGGACAATGAAAGTTTGAAAGAACAAATGCCTTTGAACGCTTTAGCTTTTGGTTTGTGAAGGCTTTCTCACCGACATCACTGCATCCAGTTGCTTCTCCGTCGGGCGGCTTTGGGGCCCAGAATGTTGGCGCCCCGAAGAATACGGCCTTGGCGCTGCACGAATTGTTGGAGGCGGGATTTTTTCAATGCGGGAAACACAATGTTAGTTTATTCTAGCTTATACATGTAAAACAAAGATGCACTGTGAATCTTTAACCCAATAGCAATGGCTTCCAACCTAATTAGCTTCTTTTACATAACATGGATATACCCTTTTTAACGCTTTGGCCATTTCTGGTGGAACAGCCGGGTCTTCGAGACTGAATGAGCAATGAATGCTGTCTGAAATAATGTTAATTTACGGGCTCCGCAAAAGATTGCGGTCCGATTTTGTTCCGTGTATTGGAAGTCCTCCTTTGGTTACGTATGGGTTTGAAGAGAATGTTTCCGACCTTCCAGCTTATGACGGCTTCCAAGTGATGGCCCAGCAGAGATTCGATATGACTCCATACATGTGTGCCAAGCGGTGAACTTTGACATGATCGACATGTGCCATTGCAGGTGTTTTGAAATTTGTAGTACGTTGAAGCTTCACTCAAGAGGACGCTATTAGGTGCTCCTGGCATCGCTACTAGCAACAAGAAGCTACTAGGGGCTCCTGGCCTTACTACTAGGAGCAAAGAAGCTACTAGGAACAAAGGGCATCAGCTACTAGTAATTAACACGAAGCTACTAGCAAGCAAGGCAGATTAGATTTCAATTACAACGTTTTTCACCATACGACGTTCACACGCTGGAATTCACCGCTCTGCATTTCACGGCATCCGCTACTCAACGGTGGTGAAAGTTATGGCAAGGCAGAAATTCGTTGTTAGATTAAAGAAGAACTCTAAGAGATGACAACAAGAAGGTAAGCCCCTTTAAAGGGACTTTCTATAGTCTTACTGGCCCTTACTTTCCTTTTTTTCCACTAACAGCGTGGTAACACTAGGGGTTCTTATGGTGGTTGTTAAGGCCGGGTTTTGATCGAGGTGCTCCCATCTGTCCACGGACGGCTAGTTTGTTGCTATTTACGCTACATTCATGCCTCTCGAGATCTTCGAAGTGCATTTCGCCTGCGCAGGCTCGCAGAAACTGGTGTTTGGAGTGGGTGCTTTCCACCACTGCTCGCTCGTTCTTGTGCCGTGCCCATTTTCGGACTTGGTGGTCGACTTTTCGTGGCAAGTGCAGGAGATCGAAGCGGTTTACTGAGATGTGCAGATTTCGTGGCAGACGCAGTAGGTGATGGTCTTCGGTGCACTGTGAATTTCACGGTGGGTGCACTGAACCGTGGCCTTTGGACATGTGGCTCGTTGTCAGGGAAATATCGAGCGAAGGCTGCGTTTCGTATCTTGGATGTGCTTTTGCTGCAAAGCGCCTGCCCGGGCTGTGCTGCCGTTGCTGCTACTACTACTACTACTTATTGCTACTACTTAATACTACTACTTACCAATGCTACTACTTACCAATACTACTACTACCACCACTACCACT